CAAGTATGTGATCAGGCTTAGAGTTGAGAACCTGGAGTTTCAGTTTTGTCAGCTAGCCTTCGTGCCTCTCGAGGAGGTTCCGTTTTGAGTCAAGTCTCAAGGCTATGTTTTGGGAATGTATAAGCTTTTGTTTCTTTTGATTTTCGGACAAGTTTTCTGTTATGCATACACGAAGTGACTTAATTATTGTATTTTGTTTAATCACACGTATGGTTATGGAAGTTTGAAATTATCAGTCTCATACATGTCTTCACAGCTCGTTGGACTATGTATATTTCATGTATTTGCTTCTGCGGCCCCTATTTATATGCTATCATGTCAAGAGGCCTTCGTTAATCCAAGGACTACTGGGCGCTTATGTCACTAAACCTATAGCGGCGGGTTTGGGGTGTGACAGGATAGGAACAACAACTATTTTCCAATCTCATGGGCAACTGTTGAGGCAGAAAGTAAAGATTGTTGGGTGTGGTTTTTAAGGCAACTCATGGATGATATTGGTAGTGCTGATGACATGGGATGGGTCTTCATTTCTGACAGACAGAAGGGGTTGGTACCTGCATTTGAGGAGGTAATGCCAAATGTGGAACATAGGTTTTGTATGAGGCATATTTACTCAAATTTCAGAGCAAAGTTTAAAGGGCTTGAATTGAGGGGCCTATTATGGAAGGCAACTACAACTGGGACTGTGAGGGAATTTGAATTTCACATGAACAAGTTGAAGGAAATGGATCCAGAAGAGAAAGCATACAAGTGGCAAAGGAAGATAGATCCTGCTTTATGGATTAAGTCCTATTTCAGCCCAAGAAGTAGGTGTGATACATTGTGAACAACATGTGTAAGTCATTCAATAACAACATCTTAGAAGCTAGGAACAAACCCATAATCCGCATGCTTGAATGGATTAAAAGGAGGGTAATGCATAGGATTCAAATCAAGAAGGAAGGGATGGAAAAATACACTGGTGAAATTTGTCCCAACATTGTCAAAGATTTGGAAGCACTGAAGGTGCAAACTAAGAATTGTTTTGCAACCTATTGTGGTGACATAAAATTTGAAGTAAATTGTGGTGATACCACATGTATTATTGATTTGGAGGAAAGGAAAGGCAGTTGTAGGATGTGGGATTTGACTAGAATACCTTGTAAACATGCAGTAAGTTCCATATATGTTAAAAGAGAGAAGCCAGAGGACTATGTGCACCCTTATTACAGTAAGCACCATTATCTTGTAGCCTATAACTCAATGATTTACCTTATTCCAGGCGAGCATGATTAGGTTGAAACAGGATTGTCAGCAGTGGCTTCGCCATTGTACAGAAAGCAGCTTGGAAGACTACTAAAAATGAGAAAGAAGGGTATAGATGAGCCAAGAAACCCTGTCAGAGTTTCAAGACAGAATAGGTTCATGGTTTGTGCTAGATGCATTCAGAAAGATCACAACCAAAGGTCTTGTAAGGGTCTTGTCCATCCCAAGTCCAAGCTTTTTAAGTAAAAAAGAAATAACCAGCAGCAGCCACCTTCAGCAGCAACAACAACATCAACATCAGCAGCAACAACAACATCAACAGCAACTGCAACAACAACAATTTCAGCTTCAGCAACAACAATATCATCTCAAGTAACCTAAACCTCCAATTTCATTTCATTTTGCAATACATTCTACAACAATTTCATTTCATTTCATTTTGTAACCTGAACCTCCAATTTCAAATCATTGCAGCTCAGAAAGAAGCTCCTTAGTAGGAGGGCCAACACATCCTCATCTCAAGTAAGATCTGTCCACTTTGCATACTTGTTACATCATTGCAGCCCACTAGAGTTAGCCAAGCATTTGAAGAATTTCCAAGTATGAAAGGCTACACATCAGTATCTCAGGTAAGCTCTCTTTTCTATGGGTGTCATTTGGTTTTTGACATAGTTGACAACATATAATTGCTTACTTGGACCATCATCATTGCAGCCCACTAGAGTTCAATACAATTCTCTAGAATTTGATAACTCATCATCTCAGGTATACTCAAATTTCATTTGCAAGTTCATATGCTTTTTACATAACTCATAGCATTTGATTGCATACTTGTTAAATTATTACAGCCCAGGATTACTGAAGTTGGCCAAAATTCTCCACATTTCCCAACTTGGATGGGTAACACATCTTCATCTCAGATAAACTCTATCTCTCTCTTCTATGCAACTTTATTTGCTTTTATAGTATTTCAAAAAAATGTAATTGGATACTTGTGTGTGTTGCAGCCTACTAGTTATGGTAAAGGAAAGGGTGAACCAGTTGGAGGTGGTAGCGTTATGTCCAGATCTGCATGGGGAGGTAACTTCATAACAAGAAGTAGAGGAGAAGGTGGGTATGCAAAAGCTATAACTTAGAGGCAAACTGACAAAGGCAAAGACAAAGCATGATGGACTAGACATCTGTTTTTGTGTTTTGAGTCAACTTTTGTTGTGTTTTGAGTACTTTTCAACTTGTTAAATCATTAAGTGAGTTGTACCAATTTGTTTTTGAATTTGAAACTGGCTAGTAAACAATAGTATCTTAGTTTACTATGTCTTGAGAAGCCCAGTGGGTTGAATTATGGCTTGTATTAAAGTACTGTGAGTTGAATTATACGATTTTGAGTTGATATTTGCACATTGTTTGCTTGATGTACACATGTTTACTTGCTGAAATTGTTTTGTATGAAGCAAATAAAACATGTTTCAAACAGAGGAACAATGAGAACCAACATGTATCTATTCTTTAATGTTCTTGGAAGATGTATTCAACAATTTTATTGCATTTCTTTGGTTCATCAGATGCTTACATTTCATGACCAAAAACATTCTTTCATTACAATTCCTTCACAGACCATTGTACACTTTCATTTTCTACTTTCACTATATGTTTCATCTCTCAAACTCTATGGCCCAATAACAACCCATTTTTCTTCCCTCCAGCTAGCTTCACTCAAAAAATTGTTATGATAAAAAAAAAAACCCCCATGTCTTAAACAGAGCTTTGCAAAACATTTTCTCCCTTCTATGACTTCTTGCTAGTTCCTTCTCCAACCTGTTCATCTTTACAACCATCTTTGGCAGCACCTCCTCCCAACGTTGGCACATAGGTGGATCAACCCATTCAAAGTAGCCACAAGTTGCATCAACCTATAACAAAAAAATATGAATCCACAAATTCCTTTTCAAACAAAATTCAATATTTTTTTCCAAAATAAAAAAAACAAAAAATTAGTTTTGCTTACCTCATATCTTGCACAATCATAAAACCTTCTACCCATATTTGCAGATGTCATTGAAGTCTTCACAGGGGATCTCTCTCCACAATAACATAGTCTTTGAGGATTTGTCATTGACTGTCTACTTTTGGAAGCAAATGAAGAAGCCATTCAACAATAATCTTCAAAATTTTCAAAATCTTCAACTTTGAGAAAATCTGAGCAACTTTCTGAAAATCAAGGCAGCTTTGAAAAAATTTGGGCAAATTTCAATTTAGGGTTATGTTGTTTGGGTCTTGATTTGTATATATATATATGGTAATAAGGGTGTTTTGGTAATTTGCCATATGTTTTTGGGCAGGAAACACTGTTTTACTCACCATTCCTACTCGTGCAACACACGCACTGTTTAAACAAACAATTGCGTCGGATATTGCACTTTGGTATAAAGTATAGGAGGTTTAAGGGGTGGTTTGGCATCTCTTATATAATCCATCTTTTTATCTTTTTTCCAACACATCACCTCTCTACTTTTTTACACATCTTTTCATAAAAAGATAAAAAGTGTACTTATTTAGATCATTCCAAACAATCCTTTAAGTGTTACAAATGAAACTATAAGGGAGTTCTGTGTTTTTGAGGCAAATTATGGGGGAGTTAAATTATAATTTACCCAAATAAATAAATAAAATAAAATAGAGGTGGGTGTACAAAGATGAATGAAGGAGATTGTTTCTCTCTTCACCCACTTCCCTCTTCGTCACTTCCTTCCATCGCTCTTTCTTCCTCATCCCTTTATCTGTGTTCCATCTCTTTCACGAATATAGACGAGAAGGACATCGGAGTAGGTAAGTGTCAGGCCGATATTGACATGAAAGATTACTTTCTAGGGTCAATCGAATCATCGACCAATCTTGATTTTTTCTTCAACGTTGATATCTTCGAAGCATTCTAACAGCTATAACAGCCATTGATGCCACTCTCAGCGAGCTCCGATCTGATTTCTATCCTCACTTTTTCATTTCTTGTTCTTCAGTTGGTAACTACTCAACCCAACTCTTTCTTTTTTTTTTTTTTTTTTTGGGGTAACTTGATTTTCAATTTCAATTTCATTTTTTTTGACAACCCACTACATTCCATAAAATTTCGTTATTCATGTTTGTCTGTTTAGTGCAATGCTCTTTTGCTTGTTTGGTACTGGAAATTAATGTGTACATCAGTTTCTTGGAATGTCATTTTCTTTGTGTTTGGTTGTCAGAAAAGTGGAGGAAAAGAAAATGAAAGTGAAAGCAATTTAAAACTCAAATATCATAATTATCGTTTATTGGAACCAAACTGAAAATGATTTACAGTATTCCACAATTACCCAGTAGAAGATGTTTGGTTTGGTTTGGTTTGGTTTTCAGAATCAGTTCTCTGAAAAATTTCAAAAAAATTTAAAACTAATTTTTTATGTGGTTTTATTTTTTGGGTAGTAATAATTTTTGATAATTTGAAACTTTTGAAATTCATTTTTTGTCAAACTAGTTCCTATTTTTTCAAAGAAATTTCAGAAAACCGATTTTGAAAATGAAACCAACCCCCCCCCCCACACACACACACAAAAAGCAACCCAAAAGATTTTACAGTACTATATATTTTCTAAAACAATTATATGTGAAGATAGGATGGTTTTACAAGTTTATTAACAATCTAGGTTCTATATGTATTATTTATTGCTGGCTTAATAGGTTATGTGAGAGCTGTCTGTAAGGATGCCAAGGCAGTTTGTGCTGGTTTTCTTCTTGTTGTTAGTTGCATTCACTTCTCATTTTGGTTGGAATGAACGAATTGTGAATGAAGTTCAAGCGAGCCCCAGCATTTCTCAAAAGCAGCGACACATTTCAAAGAGGGAAGAATCTGTCAAAGAAAAGGTGAGACTTTATTATTCAATTTGTGCGCGCTCGTGTGTGTGTGTGTGTGTGTGTGTGTATTTCACTTTAATTAATCAAGAGATGTTCAATTCGTTGGTCTGGTTGTCACTGATATATTTTTTCTTCAATTATTAGGTTATCCATAAGCATTCTGTAAAGATTCATGCAGGTTTCATTCACCTAAATGATCATATAGGTGTACCAAATCTGGATGGTTTTCCACAATAGATGTAAATTTTTTTTTTTTTTTTTTTTTAAAGGTTTGATGACTTCTCATAAATTAAAATCTCCCTTCACATGATAAAGTGTGAACCAATTTGCTAGTTTACATAATCTTAATTTGTAATTATTTATTTTATTTGTTTCATATTTTATAGTTGCCGGTTTGTTTTGTTTCTTTCTTCTTTTCTTTTGTTTGTTTCCTTGAATAATTGGAATCCTTTGGTCATCAAGCATTAAGTTCAAAGTCGATGTGTTTCCTTGTTGACTTGCTCTTAATTCCCTTCCCGGGCTTTTCCCAATCCTTGCTCCATATTTTGAGCAATTTGTCCATTAAGCAAATAATTAAAATTACTTGTTTTTTTATTTTTTTTATTTTGCATTATTGTTCATAAATTGCTGTATATAAGTCCTACTTTGATCATACTTCGCTTATTTCAGAAGTTCGTGTGCACCACTGTGTGTTAGATGTGTATACTTTATTAAATGAAAACACTGAATCATGATTTTTTTTTATTTATTTATTTTATATTTATGTAAATCACTTTTAATCATATTGGAGTTATCATTTAGGGTGATGTACGTGCATTATTTGTCTGTTTGTGCACAAGCATTAAAATGCTTGTGGATAAGCGCTCACAGAAGTACACATATACAGGGTATATGTGGATCAGTGAATACATGTCTAGGCATATATTTGGGCACATATACAGTCACACAAGTGTATATAGATTAATATGCATATATAGGCACATATGTGAGATGCCTAGGTCTATATATATGGATTCATATGCATACATAGGCACATATGGAGCCTTATTTTCGATTCCTTGGTTGCTTGCATCCCACAGGATTGAGAAGCTTTATTTTGCTGGCCAGGAAAAATAGGACAAGGAATTGTCAGGGATAGGGGAAGATTATGGGCCAAGGTGATCTGACTGAAGTGCAGTCTTTAAGTCCTCTTTACGGGCTAAAAGGTGGTGGAAGGGCTAAAATTTGTTTTTGGAAATGGGAGAACCTCACTAGTTGAGGACTCTGCTTCTTTGCACGCTACTTTATTTTTATATGCTTCTAGAAGAATGTCTGGTCCTGCTTGTATCCCTCTTTCTGTTTTATTTGTAGTTTTTCCTTTTGTTTTGTATGAGAAAAATAGTGTCGTTCATTTAGGCTGTGGTGAGTCGTTTTAAAAGGTAACTTATCATACTCTATTAATTTCTTTTGGCATATATAAAATCATGTACAATATTCCTTCTTTGAAATTTTATATTGCATGTAATCTGGCTTATAGTCATCTTTGAAGTCAGAATAGAGCCGTTAAGAACTAACCTTTTGTAGATGACATTAATTAATGCTTTATTTGGTTCACTATAATGAGATAGAATAGAATGGAATGATCATTCCATTGGCTCTCCCTGAAATGATCATTCCCTTACAATAATGAATGATGATTCAATTTGCAATACATTTTTCATTATCATTTTAGTCAAATCAATCATTCCATTCCACTTCATTCCAGGAAACCAAAAACTACCCAACTATCTTTGAAGGTGATTGTGAGTTTTGGAATCTTATTGTTGCAGATTATCCTATCTCAAGAGAGAAGCATTCAGAAACTTAATGAGCTTGTAAATAGTCTTCGAGAACAATTGCTACACTGCAAGGACAAAATTGAAGCTGTGAATAACACTTCAGTTCCGCCAATAAAAAAAAAGCAATTCAGTTCCTTTGACAAAACCTCAAAATGAACTCCAGCAGCAACAAATCCTGGAGGCCTAGTCAAATACTTGGTATGTGCAAGTGCGGAAACCATTTTTCTGTGTTCAAGCAATGTTGCGCCACCATGGTGATATGTCCATGTCATTTGTGCTGCCTTATATATCATAACCTTAGATCTTCATTTCTTGTCAATATTTTATGGTTAATTTTATTCTGCTTCCCATTATCAATTGTATTTTCTGTCTTGTACAGCTGCTAATCTGTATACTCAGTCACTCTTGATATGGGATTGAATATCTAAGTATATCTGAATGGTTTGGGCCTTAAATTGTTCATTGAGCATGTCCGATAGAAATTATGTTTTGGGCGGCATAGATTAGAATGGATGGAAAATTTTCTTGGTAGGTGGGATCGATTCTAATGCAATCCACAGTACTCACCAACAATATTAGTCTTTATTTATATGGGAATTATCAAACTATTTTGTCACATTTACTTTTTTGGATGTCCTTTGATTTCTAATTTTCATTTCAGGGGATTGAACATCAAAGGTTCCATTAATCGTGATGACAGGTTTGAAACCACCATTGTTCATGTAAAAAGACACATTTGGTACTGCATACAGTTTGTTGTAAGACTCTAGAGCTGCTTATTGTTTAATTATTTCATTGTTTGAACATTATAAATTATTTTGTGTGCGCGCACTTTTATTTATAATTTGGATCATGATAGCCCAACAATCATCTTTTGAAGCCTATATCTAAAAGTAGGGCTGTCAATGGATCGGATTTAATTCGAATCCGACCAGAATCCGATCCGATAATCCGAATCCATTTACAAAAAATCCGACCCGATAATCCGAATCCGTTTAATCCGTTTATTAAACGGGATGAATATGCAAAAATCCTATCCGACCCGATAATCCGATCCGATTATTCTCAATTTGAATGAAAAAAACAAAAAATGAAAAAAAAATAAAATCAAATATCCGATCCGATTATTCTCAATTTGAATGAAAAAAACAAAAAATGAAAAAAAAATAAAATCAAATTATATAAAATTGTAGCTCAAAAAATAAATAAATGAATCGGATCGGATATCCGAAATCGTCGAATTTGGATTCGGATATCTATAATCAGATATAGACTAAACGGATTCGGATCGGATTCGGGTTTGTCATAATCGGATCGGATTCAGATTCTGACAGATCCGATCCGATCCGAATCCGATCCATTTACAAGCCTATCTAAAAGCCCATTAGTCTATTCTTGTGTGTACAATATACACACCATTTTTATCTCTAAAATTCTCTTCTTCTGTTTCTTTCCTCATATTCTCCTATAAATCTGCGAATAATGATTTGTCCCCCTAATTTCCTCCCCCTGAATCCCCCTAATTTCAGGAGAGAGAGAGAGAGAGAGAGAGAAAAGAGAAGAGAAGAGAGGGAAGAGGAGGAGTTTAGAAGAGAGGGAAGAGGAGGAGCTCGATCGTCGTCCTCTGCCCAATCGTCATGTTCGGTAGCCCCCGCCTCTGCCCGATCGTCGTCTCCGGCAGCCCCCGCCTCTGCCTCGCCTCCTCCTCCTCCTCCTCCCTGTGGTTATGGCCCCCTCCAGTCCTCCTCCTTCCTCCTCTTCCTCCTCCTCCTCTTTCCTTCTCTTCTCTTCTCTTCTCCTTCTTCCTTCTTCTTCTCCCTCGTTTCTGATTGAACCAGGAAAAAAAAAAAAAAAATGCAGAAATGACGTCGTTTCTGGGATTAGGGGGATTCGGGGGGACTTTTTTCGAGCGACGTAGCATTATCGTAAATCTGCTCTATATTATTTTGTTAAATTTTATGGGCAACACGACACAGACAGTTCACCCCAAGCTCTTGTGGACACAAAACTAAGAATGAGCACCGTTGTGAGCATTTGTTGGGTTAGATCTTGGAGTCGTTACTGACCAGTTGTACCTTTCATGTAGGGTAACACGACTTCATAACAGTAATTATGCACATCCCACTAAGCTCACTTGCTAGATTTTTTGCTCGCCTATTTTTATGTTTTATTTTAAGTTATTATATGTTTTACAAATCTCTGCAAATTTTACTAGTAATTTTGTTTTATTGTTTAGATATTATATTATTTCATAATTTTCCCTAATAAAAAGCACACCTAAGTCAATTAAATGTAATAATAAGTATTCTTCATGAACAGCCATAGGAAGGAAGGGTGTCCCAACCCCTCACAAGTTATCATGAATAGGTTCTTTCTTAATGGGCCCTTGTAAACTTAGGGTTTTGTGATTATGTCCTCAAACTGGACTTTGTTGGGATCATATTTTGTATAAACAATGGGAGATTTGATCCATTTATTAAAAATTTTATGACCTATATTGGTTAATGTTCTGTTGCTTTTAACCTCTCATAGGCTATTATAACATAAAGTGGTGTTCCTATTTGTCTTTATGAAGCATTTGATACTTTGATGGTATAATAATTCTCAAGTAATTCTGAGCTGCATGTATTGAAAAAGAAAAAAAAAAATACCTCTGATATATTTGCAAAACTGAAATCTCTAATGATTTTAAAATATTTGACATGCTTTTTTTTTTTTTCTCCTTTTCTTTTTTTCTATTTGCAAAATGAAATTTTATGTCTTCAGTATCTGTGCCTGCTGTTGTAGATGTTTGAGATGCATTTTCTTTCCCTTTTGTTGAATTTTCAACAAATGAATTGATCGACACATTGTGTTTATTGATAAACTCACGATTCTATCTGATCTGTAACTTTAAATAAAATGTAACATGATATATTAGTATTTGAGTTTACGCAATGAGTGTTGTTATTTTTAAAATAAAAGGAGATTGATGCTGATGGTTGACCCCATAAGAAGTTTTTGTTAAATGTGGGTATTGACTGGTATTACATATTGGAAAATGCGGGAGACACCCAGTAATGGGCGACCCCCAGCCCACGTGGTTGTGGGTGATTGGCAGGAAAGAAAAAAAAAAAGAAAAAAAAAGAAAACTGGCGAATGACATTGCGCCACGTCACTGGGGGTCGACCCCCAGTGGGGGTGTGTAGTATTGTTGTTACATATTTGTCCCGTTTGTGGTGAAGAAAAACATACATGAGAGTTATCTCGTGGCATGGGTTAAAAAATATTGTTATAGAGGGTAGGTTACACCAAATCCAATCTTTCACATATAATAATAGTATATATATGCATGCCTTTGTGCATGTTCAATCATCTTCCTCGTCTTCTTGCCATGCATTTTTACATCAACTAATAAGTTAAGTTATATAGAGCTGGTAGTATTTCTCATATCAGCCTCTGTGGTTGTTTTTTCTTTTCAGAAAACAAACTTGTTTTATTTTATAAAACTGTTTTCTAGAAAATTTTCTATAAACAACCTACTTTCTCGGAAACATCAAAAACTTGTTTTTGAATTTTTTTTTAAATTGCTTTCACACAAAATGAAACAATGAGTATTTTTAAACTTTTTATTATTTTTGTTTTAAAAAACATTAAAAATAAAAGAGAAAAGCAAAAATGAGGAAATAGAAAAGGCGTTGGCTTCTGTCCAATCCTTAATCGGACTGGACCGTATTGTTGGGCCCGTGGGGGCCCACCACGGGTCTCGTTTTGATAATTTAAACCGTTCAATGTGTAAAACTCGTCGAGTACTCACTACAACAAAAATCACCTTTGGCGACTAAATTTTTAGTCGCCAAAAGTCCATCTTTAGTCGCCAAAAGTGGATTTTTTAGATTCAGCGACTAAATTTTTTAGTCGCCCATTTTGTCGCCAGTACTTAGTCGGCAGAGGTATTGGCGACTAAACAAGTTTTAGTCGGCAAAAACAGGTGTTTCAGTGACGAAAGTGATGGTCGCCAATAGTGAATTACACTTTCAGAAATTATACATTCAGCGACTAAAATATTAGTCGCTGATAGCCATGAATCGCCGACCAAAGTGATTAGCCGCCCAAAGCAACACTTTTGGCGACGACTAATTTTAGTCGCCAAAGGTATTCCATGAAAAAAAAAAAAACCTTACTTCTTTGCATTTTCTGAATTTCGAACCACTGACCCTTTCACATTCTAAACCTTTAACCAAACACTCCCTCCACTATGCCACTATAATATCACATGAATGTATATGCAATATATATTATTTATATAGTATATTAATCGGTATTAATACAAAACTAATTATATAAATATAATTATTTTTATTCAATATAAATTATATAAAAAATAAATTATTTATTAAAAAAAAATTTAGGCCACTTTTGGCGACTAAAACCATTATTTAGTCGCCAATTCTATTATTTTGGGCTACTAATGATTTTTTTGCCGCTAAAAAAATTAGTTCCAATTAAAAATATGCAGTTTTGGCGACTAAACCTGTTTTTAGTCGCCAAAACGTCACCTTTTGGCTACTAAACTGAATTTTAGTCGCCAATACTCAGTTTTTAGCTACTAATTTTTTTTTGGTAGCCAAAAAGCTTCACTTTTAGCGACCAATATGTTTTTAGTCGGCAAAACACCTACAATCGGCGACCAATCTGTTTTTTAGTCGCCAAAACAATCACTTTTGGCGACTAAATTATTTTAGTAGCCAAAAACTGTCACATTCGGCGACTAAACTACCTTTAGTCGCTAAAACCCCCAGATTTGGTGACTAAAGTGCCTTTTGGTCGCTAAAAACCTTGTATTCGGCGACTAAACTGTTTTAGTCGGCAAAAGTGACCAATTTTGGCGACTAATTCCATTTTAGTCGCCAATTCTACTACTTTCAGCGATGAAAAAAGAAACTTTAGTCGCCAATTCTGCTATTTGTTGTAGTGACTATAAACCTGTAGAAAATCACGTTAATCGGATATCGGTAGCTATGTGATCAAATCAGATTTTTGTCAACCGTTAATTTATTCACCGTCCATTTTTTTTATACAAAACTAATTTGATCACATGGCTACTGATATCCGATTAACGTGATTTTTTACAGGCTTATAGCACTCGACGATTTCTACACATTAAACGGTTCAGATTATCAA